AATCTCAAAAACACTATACTAAGAAGATACAAGGATTGGCTTGTATATAAACTTTTCAATCAAGAATTATATGAAGCTCAGAACTAGTATAAAGTTGACCGGGAAAGAAAAAAACATAAACTCCATCAAAAACACTATACTAAGAAGATTCAACATTATCGAACAATCGGCTCAAATATAAAGGGATTTCAATCAAGCATTGTCTGAAGCTCAGAACTGGTATAAAAAGCTGTTAGATTTAATCATCACTGCCGGAAAAAAAAAACAAAACTTCGAAGACAAGAAATCCGAAAGGAAACAAGAAAATTGGTCATATTAAGAAATAAATCTCCAAAGAAGAGATATATAACCTAAGAAGAAACCCTAACGTATATATAAAGGTTTTGGTTTCTTCTTAGTCGGTTGTTGTAGTTTGTAACCAGCCCACCTGGTTAAGAATCTTCGAGAGGAAAGTGTTTTTAAAACTCCATAGCAATAATTTTATGCACATGTAGTGGTCTCTTAATTTCAATGATTGAAATATAAAAATGAATTTAACCGCAAGTGAATGTTATTATTTTATTTTTGTTGACAGGTAACAAGTGAATGTTATTGTTAATTTATTATTATGGTTTCACATGGCTGAAGCAACACTGTGAACATGTATAGATCTGATCTCAATATAGCATGGAGTAATGTTTTGGGAGAAATTATGTAAAGAAAATATATATAATAGAGGGTGGAAATTTATAGAAGCATTCAAGTATATTGATTCTAATGATCCAATGAATTGATTCTCATGGAGATTGATATGAATCAAAGGAAAAATAGTTTCAGAGATTATTTCCGGAAAAAACAAAAAAAAAGTGGAAAAAGCAGAATCATTTGATATCTCTGAGCAACACCTTAATAATGGAAGCGTAACATCCAGAAGATTTAACATTATTATTGTTATTATCATTTGATCCATAGTCAAAACTCGAAGCAGGTCCTAACCACATTGACCTTCTTCTGTTCTTCCTGCAACACAACTCTGATGTCCTCAACGG